TTTATAATAATGAATAATAATGCTTTATAATAATGAATAATAATGCTTTATATATAAAAATGTAAAACAAATGTTAGAAACATATTTGAAGTATTAATAATTTTTCGAGTATTTAATCGAATAAAAATATTAGAAAAACCTAATATTACCACTACGTGTAAAAGCGACTGAAATTAAGATAAAATAAATACTATTAAAAATTAATGACAGTTTACAGAGCTTCATCTGATGAAATAATTCAACGCAGTAATAATAATAATAATAATAATAATAATAATAATAATAATAATTTTATGGGACTTTACAATAAAACAGGGGAATAATCAAAGACCATAAAAACAGAATTGGCCTTTCTTATTGATATGAAAATTACTGCAGATTGTATATATATTTTTAGATCTTCAAAAAGCTATTAAAATACAAAAATCTTGAAGTGGAAACCTAAAAAATGAAGCATAGGAGGGCATCAATAATTCTAGTTGTAGCTGGAGCTCAACGGGTTGATTAGAAAAGTTTCGGATAGACTCAGTGAGTGGATTCCTGGTAGACCATTCCTTAAAACAATGTGCTCATGCATACAACTCACACCTTACGAAGTGTTTTATCTATGTAATATATGTGTGGTCGTAGTTTTTTATTCAAAAATGCTCAGTGGAAAATATCATGAAGCCATTTCTGACCTTAGGTATTTGCTTGGAATACAGAAGGACATCTGTATACAAAAGAAATCAATGGTAATAATAATAATAATAATAATAATAATAATAATAATAATAATAATAACAACAACAACAACAACAAAGAAGCCAAAAAGTTGAAATGGAGTTTGAAATTGGTGAAATACAAGTAAAGCACTGAAGCTGCAAAATACCAAATGCAACTGACCAGGTACAGAAATAAACCACTTCCCAGTCAATACTCTGCCCCTACGAAACAAGCTTATGTAGATAAACCTCGTACCCATGATTGGTTCCGTAGGGCAGGGTTAAAAGCTGAAACCGAAGGTTTTATTCTTGCTGCACAGGACCAATGCTTATCAATAAGAAATTATCAAGCTCGCATACTGAAAAAATGTGTTAGCCCCAAATGCAGATTCTGTGATAAATATTAAAAAAATATTAACCATCTTGTATCAGGCGGCACGGTATTGGCACCCACTGAATATAAAACAGGACATGACAGAGTGGGCCAATATCTGCACTGGAAAATTTGCAAATTCTACGGAAAGGAGACCGAAAGAAATTGGTATAAATACCACCCAGAGCCGGTTAGAGTGATACGACCTGTAAGTATTTTATGGGATTTCACAATACACATAGACAATCAAATCTAATCACCCATACATCATTATTAGATACCGCAAACAAAAAAAATTGCCTCCTTATTGATATGGCAGTCCCTGCAATGTATGTTTGAAGATCTTCAAAAAGCTATCAAAATACAAGGACCTTGAAATTGAAATCTCAAAAATGTGGCACGTGAGATGATCAACAATTCTAGTTGTAGTTGGAGTCCTCAGATTGATTGGAAAAAATTCCAATGGACTCAGTGAAGGGATACCTGGTAGCCCATACCTTAAAGAAATGAAAAAAAAAATGATTTCACGAGTACAGCTCACACATTACGAAGGGCTTAATCTAATATAATTTTTTAAAAATTGCTCAGTGGCCATATTGCCATTTCTTATCATAGGTCTCTGGTCAGGACCCGGAAAGTAATGAGTACACATCAGAAATCAAAGGAAATAAAAGGAATAATAATAATAGAATTAAAAGTGACTAGATTTGAGATGAACGAAATCTTAGTCAAAAATTAATAATGGTCGACAATGTTTAATCTTATAACAGACTTCAATAAAATACAACTAATAGTATTACTATTACTACTACTGCTACTGCTATTACTAATACCATCATCAAAAGCAACTAAAACAAAGATGAAAGATATATTTGTCAAAATTGCACAGTAGTTGGTAAAGCTTCATCTGATGAGAGTTCAAAGTGATATTGTTACTAATGCTACATGCGAAATTTGAATTAAGAGGAAAAATTATTGTTAAAATTTAACAATGGCTGACAAAGGAACATAATATTTTAGATAATATTGCTACTAATACTACATGCGAAAGCAAGTAAAATTAACAGTAAAGAAATACCAGTGAAAATTTATCAATATTTGACAATGCTTTATCTAATAACAATATTCAAGATGTTCGAAATAAATGAATTTACTTCATCTACAAAAACTGAATCTGTTCGTTTTTCATTTCAGTCCCTGTCTGCAGTCAGGTGAACGTCATTTATGAGAGCATGTGTCAATTCAAAAAATTCCAATGCAGATTTAATATAGAACAAATTATTCTCGATGCCAAACAGTGCAAGCCGGGAGGTAAGTTTAAAAGAAACATATGTATATATTCAAATGTAGTAGTCGTCTTTTCAACAATATGGGTGAAGGAAGCTACGTATGTTTTCAAATGTAGCAGCCGCCTGCTGAATAATGTGGTGAAAAAAATTATTTACGTTTTGATTTCAACGCAGGACTTTGTGAACATCTAAGGTCACCAGTTTCTCACGCATGTGTCGTATTTCGATTCTGGGTACGTTACGATGATCGCAGCATCGGAGAATGGCTAAAATTAATTCAGCGATTTTGATTTAGGCTGATTTATCCACAGATATTCTTAAATGCCTATAATTGATAACAGAAGCCATTGGTTTAAACTAATGGCTTCCCACACTTATTAGTTCTCGTTTAACTCTCGCGAGGTCATGTGTGACGTCACGAGCTCCGACGCGATTTTCGCTTCCGTGTCTCGTATACACAAGTTTGGCGTTGCTTTGAAATTTTTCATGCAACACAAACAGACTATCATTGTTGTTTCGTCCGTGCATTGTTTGATATATTGAAATGTATTTATCATCTTTGATAATGGCTTATGTAAGCCGAAAGCTTAGATTAGATTTAAACATGTATCAATATTCCTTTCGTCTTTCATTGATAATGTTATTAAGCTTATCAGACAATATGAAAGTAACTTACTTAAAATAAATAGGCAAAACTTGTCTATATTATTTATTGAAACAAGCATCAATGAAAAAATTGCCTAAATATAAATATATATATATATATATATATATATATATATATATATATATATATATATATATAATGTAATTTTAAGTTGAAATTATTAATCATATAAGTATAAATATGTATAATGATTCATATTATTATAACATTTATACAAACAATTAATTTTTATCTGCTATCAACAATTTGAAATTCTTGCGGAAAAACAAACAATAAAAGTTTTCGTGAATCACATTTAATGATTTGAACACCAATAGCTTGTTTAATGTCACGAATTGAATACATTTTTCACGAGTGATATTCTTATTTTTATGTGAGATGGAGGCAGTGCAGTCGGGCCTTGGGCACCGTGGAGCCCCTGCAGCGTCACCTGTGGGAAAGGAACGAAAACAAGGAAAAGAGAAGCGCTGAGAACGTTAGACGAGTTTGAAAAAAATAGTTTGCCTCTGAATGCCAGTGCCGATTGCTACGAAGATCCTTGTCCAGATGGTACGTACGTTTTTAGATCCTTTGACTTTATATAGCAATTTACTAAGCCTAGCTCATAAATGGCACAAGGTCTGAATTATGGAGTACCTAGTGAGCATCCCGGCACCTCCTTAACTGAATATATTGCTATTAAAATTTTCTCTAGCTGAGATAGCCATATAGAAAGCGAGTAAATCTCGCGTGATGCAGGCTTTTTTAAAATTTAAAATTATAGATTTTTTTATAATTAAAATTGTAAGAAGCAGAAAAATAAATTGCTATTCACAACAACTGATAAAATATAGTCAAACCAAAATAGGACACGTAATAATTATCAAATAATACGTCTCCGATCTCATAATAAAACATATTTAATATCTTTTTTTCTTTGAAAATTACATACTATGTATATTTGTTTAAAGGAAGAGACATTATTATTTATTAAACAATGTATTCCACGTCTATCGGCCTCCGATTTTGAGATATCTGAGTAAAGAAAATTTGTTTCTCGACGGGGATCGAACCTGCGCTTCCCTTTGTATCGGAAACAACTTTAAAATACTTTTTTTTTATCTTATTGCTAAAAATTCCACTTCCTTTTCTTTAATCCCACGTCATGAAAAACGTTTTCGAATCTTTGTAAATTACAAGCTGTGAATACGAAAATAAGCAATGGGAAAATCTGACTTCTAAATTTATGGTATACAGGCTATGTATCTGTCAGTGGATTTCGGAGATAATTGTTAAAAAAGGATTCGAAAATTGAAAAAAATAAATACTCTGTTATGAATGAATTGATTTCGGAATGAATTGAAATATTGTGAAATTGAATTATGAATGAATTGAAATAGTGTGAAATTGAATTATGAATGAATTGAAATATTGTGAAATTGAATTATGAATGAATTGAAATAGTGTGAAATTGAATTATGAATGAATTGAAATTTTGTGAAATTGAATTATGAATGAATTGAAATTTTATATTATGTCTATCATGAATAAATTGTAATGTTATGAATATTATGAATGGAAGAAAAAAATGCTTAAATGCAGAAATACGTGACACTTGACCTTGTTCAAATTGTGGCAGTCAGAAATGATTAGAAACAAGTAAACTATATTCACAACATAAATTCGGAAGTGATTAAGCGGAAAAATAATGTAAAATTCTAAGTGCTACTGGAATTAACAAAAAAATACCGAAAGATTTCGAAATATTTAAAACAGTATTAATTGATTTGTTCCTTTACTGCTTATCAACACTTTGTGGGTCATTTGAAGCTGAAATATATTTTAGACTAGCAGTAGAGTCCGGCGTTGCCCGGGGATGTAACAGTATGAGATAGATCAAGTATCGACCATCATAAAGACTGAAAAATAAAATTGACAAAGATTATTGTTTAAGGTTGACGGACACGCATGTCTTAATTAGTTTTTTTTTGTTTTTTACGAATTGGTAAAACCCAAACTCAAACAAAAACATTGTTTTCAATCGTTATGAGTCTACCGATTGAATAGAATTTTTCAATTTTATTATAAACATTTGTCTTGTAAATGGAATTTTAAAACATTCTGAATGTAAAAATAAAGAAAAAAGTGTGCAAGACAATAAGAAACACTACCTGCCAAAAAAAAAGTGAAGTTTTGTTGAAATCGGTTGTAAAATGTGGGAAATCCGACCCAATATATAAACGAACAGACACACAACCTGGGTTTTGTAATAAGTATGATTGTAAAAATTATTCTTCCTTTTGTACGTGAATATTGTGTTAACAATTAAGAAAAATAACAATGTTTTTTACAGACAAAAGTCCAACTATTTAATCCATATATGGGGAGGAGATGTATTCATAATTTAACCGTCTAGGCGAAGGAACTCAAAACCCGACTGGAGAGTTTGGGGCTGCGTCAGGCTATCTTGCCGAAGCAACACAACTTCTACTGTGGTTGCTGTTCATGTAGGGCTCCCACGCCTCTGATGGGTCACGTGATTCACGATGGTGTTACTTGGACTAATATCCTCATCTCGTTAGTCTGGATGTAAATAATATGAATAACCTTTGACTTCTACTGCCAAATAATGATTTGAAATGATTTGAAAGCGCCCCGAAGAGCTTTCTGACTTATCCAAATTATCCACGAAGTTGTCAGAAACAAACTACGACAAATGGTATTTCTACTCAAGAATAATAAATAATGAATTATGTGCCATGATACAAAACAGTAATAATAAAATATCTGAAGTCAACTTCCATTTACGGCTATTAAGCAATCAACAATACAGCGTGGAATGAGGTTCGAGAACTAGCAGAAAGTTTAATTATGGGAATGCTGCTTTATTCAAAACGGACTAGCAGCTTTCAAGGTAGTGGCCTCAAGTTCAAATTTAGTCAAACTGTACTTCAATGTGAATGTATCTAGTTGAAACAAACGGTCGAAGAATAATCGTATTTCATAAAAAGCAATAAAAAATATTTCGTTAACTCTAAACCTGTCCATAACAAAGTCTACCTGCTTCTTCGAGGGTGAAGAACTGGTGTTTCCAATGCTTGCTTTGAATCTTTGATTCAGGTTCGAAGGAGTGAACCCAACTTTCATTTTGAGTTACCGATCTATGGTGGAATATTTTAGGGTTCAGCCTGAAAGCGAGTCAGAATTCTCTTGAAAATGTCAACCATTTTCAGATTTTGCTCTCGTGTCACCATTCTTGGGACCCATCTTGTAGATAGTTTTCACATCCTTAAGATCTCAGTTAAAACACTATAGACTGAACCAGAACTAGTATCTATAGACTTAGCTATCTACTGGAGAGTAAGTCGTCTGTCTTCTAAAACCATACTCTGAATGGTATCAACTTGTTTATCAGTGATTGAGGTCCTTGGACGACCTGACCGAGGGTCACCTTCTGTGCTGTCCCTACCCTGCTTGAATTCCGCCGTCCATTTCTTAACAGTTGCATAGCAAGGGGAGTCTTCAGCAAGTGTCTGTACCACGTCCTCGTGGATTTCCTGGGGGTGTCATATCTTTCTTTTTCAGATATTTTATGACTGTTTGAGCCTCTGTTTTGTCCATTTTTAGATGTGTTGCACAACTCTTACCTTTGTATAGGCCTCGTCTGCACAAGAATAAAGATGGAAATTTGAATTAGTTTTTCTAGTTTTAGTTTTCCTGGTAATATTTTGTTTTGTCAAAAATCTATTTCTGGTAGTATTTTTTTCCTCAAAAATGTATTGCTGGTAATATTTTTTTTTCAAAAACGTATTGCTGGCAATTTAAAAAAAAATATATTGCTGGTAATAATTTTTCTTTAAAAATATATTGCTCGTAATATTTTTTTTTCAAAAATATATTGCTGAAAGTAGTTTTTTTTTTCTTCAAAAATTTATTTCTGGTAATAATTTTTTACAAAGTATTTCTGGTATTAGAACCTATTTTTACACTTTTATAATGCTTTTTACCTCAGTTTCGGGGTTAGCTATTTGCCCATAGCTGGGACCCTAATAGGTGCTACCACCCCGGGTCAGGGTGGACCTGAGAACACCAGCAATTACGAGGTGGTTCCACGCTCCTCAAAACCGCCTGATCAGAGGCCTTGCTGTTGGACATATTTTATCGTCTTACCCAGGACGCGGATGTAGTTTATCGTCATACCCAGGACACTGTATAATGTGGTTAGTTACGATGAAAAGCAAAAAAAATTAAGATGAAAGTTAAAAAGAATAATTATAGTCGCGTAGTCGGTCGGGAGTTCGATCCTAAGCAGGGACTGGTACAAGGACTAAGGCAACTTGATTAGAAAAATCCAGCACATCAGTTGGAGATCCCATGCAACGCCTTACACAATTTACAGAGAACTAAGATCAATCTCAAACAAAAACGATTGAAATTTGCCGGCCACTGCCATCGAACGGACTGGGAAGTCGTGTCATTCTTACTTCTATGGCATCCTTCTGGGGGTGTCTTCCCAGGAAAGTGACGTGATATCTAAATCCCAAGTCGTATTAGAATAGCAAACGTTGCTTTCGGAATATTAAGCAATAATATTAAACAGTAATATTATTGGTCCTGATCTGGCAGTTCGGATTCAGTCACTTTCAGATCGCCATAACTTTGCCTCTCTATGTCTTTTCCATAAATACTTTCATGCTTATTGTTCAAATATCTTGGATCTCTATTTACATTATTCGGACACATGGGCCGGTGATACATATTTAGAGATTCATGATAACATCCAAAGAATCAGTAATATTATTGGTCCTGATCTGGCAGTTCGGATTCAGTCACTTTCAGATCGCCATAACATTGCCTCTCTATGCCTTTTCCATAAATACTTTCATGGTTATTGTTCAAATATCTTGGATCACACACAATACCTTCCCAAAAAGACTTCAACATACGCAAAGCTCTTGCATGGGATACGTGTAACAAACTTCACAAGATTTGGCGCTCGAACCTTTCATCCTTTTTAAATGTCCAGACCTTTCGAACATCAATTGAACCAGTCCTACTGTAAGGATTAGAAAGTTTTACATTATCTGTTCGTCTTGAAAGACGAGTGGATGGAACTTATACAAATCTACTTAGAAAAATCCAGAACATCAGTTAGAGATTCGATGCAATGCTTAACACAATTTACAGAGAACGGAGACAAATCTCAAACAAAAACGATTGCAGTTTGCCGGCCGCTGCCATCAAAAGAACGGGGAGGTCGTCTCATCCTTACTTCTATGGCATCTTTCTGGAGGTGTCCTCTCGCGAAAGTTGACTTTCCCAGACACCCTGGCTCAGGGCTAAGGGTTGGACATTGGGGTTTCTGAGGACAGCAATGAAGGACCGAACAATGTGGAAAGTGATTGTCATGGAGCTCCGACCAACCATAGGAAGGTCGAACAATGATGATAATGAGGGCAATTTTAATAAAAATAAAAATACTCGATATAGTGTGATCCTTTGAAAAATGGTCTCATTGCTAATATCACAAGTTCGATCCTCACTGGGTGACATATGTTAGCCAAAACCAGGCTGATTAAATCGACAATATCGAAAATGGATCGAAATAGACTTCTTACGCGGTAAATACATTAAAGAGATTTGCTAATCGCTAATTTAATTAGCTCTACCTTTCATCGATCAGAAGCCAAGGTTGCTTATATTTCGAACCCCAAATATCGTTTGGCTTCTTCATTAAGCTGAAGAGACGCTTACCGATTGGAATTACGTTGCACTAATTAGAAACGCAATTAGAAATAATTTGATTGATGAGAAGACCACTAGACACCTACATATGGAGATTTCCGATTCTCTTCGTCTCTTAATACTGTAATCCTGGTTCAGTCTTTTAAGTAATATCTATTTATGTACGTATTTATTAATTATTGTGCAAAAAATTATAGCATTATCGATTCATCTGTTTCTACTTCTTGTTTCGCTCTCTTTCTTTCTTTCTTTCTTTCTTTCTCTCTTTCGCTATCATTGTACTCGGATAAATAAATTCATATCTATCTATCCTAGTTTGTTCATTATCTATCTATCTATCTATCTATCTATCTATCTATCTATCTATCTATCTATCTATCTAAGTTTATTCATTATCTATCTATCTATCTATCTATCTATCTATCTATCTAAGTTTGTTCATTATCTATCTATCTATCTATCTATCTATCTATCTGTGTTCTTTATCTAACTTACTATTTCTTTCTCAATCTCAGTATATCTATCTATCTATCTATCTATCTATCTATCTATCTATCTAAGTTTGTTCATTATCTATCTATCTATCTATCTATCTATCTATCTATCTATCTAAGTTTGTTCATTATCTATCTATCTATCTATCTATCTATCTATCTATCTATCTAAGTTTGTTCATTATCTATCTATCTGTGTTCTTTATCTAACTTACTATTTCTTACTCAATCTCAGTATATTCATTATCTATCTATCTATCTATCTATCTATCTATCTATCTATCTATCTATCTATCCTAATATGTTAATTATCTATCTATCTATTTATTTTGGTAAGCGGTAAGGGTTATGTTTCGAATTATTCAAAGAGTTATTGAGTGAAAATAATTGTGGTTCCGGATGCAGGTTTTTGGCTATATATAGTAATTCTTTATTAATTTATTATTATTATTATTATTATTATTATTTTGTTGTTGTTGGTTGTTATTATTATGCTTACCTGTAAACATAAGTAACATAATAATAAGTTACTGTAATTAATAATAAGTAATTAATAACCGTTACCACCCGGCAAAGTAACCGCGAGAATTATACAGTAGTCTACTCAACATACATCACTGACCTGTATATATATAAATAGTTGAGCATAAAACAAACCGGGTTTTAACTTCACTGTCCACTTTTATATTTACATACACTCTGTCCTTCATATTGACCACTGAATGCCATAATATCGCATGACTTAAAATTATATTTTATCTCATATATATATATATATATATATATATATATATATATATATAATAATATATATATAATACAAATGTATATATAATACAAATGTATATATATAATACAAATATATATATATATATATATACATATATATATATATATATATATATATATATATATATATATATATATATATCATAAAATATATATATATATATATATATATATATAATACAGATATATATATAATACAAATATATATATATAATAAAAATATATATATAATACAAATATATATATATATAATACGAATATATATATATATATATATATATATTTTATATATAATACAAATATATTAAATAAATATATTAAAAATAAATATATTGAATTTAACATGAGTATTAAAATTGGATTGAGAAATTGGAGAGCTGACTTCGAATAGCAGGACAGTTTACCGGAAGAAGGTCGTTTCGAGACCTTGTGTGACGTCGTCCACTGGTCGCAGCGCCAACTGTGACGTTCTATTCTGGTCTACCACGGCACCAACTGTGACGTCCCTAAACAGCACCAATTGTGACGTCCTCGCCGCGGCGCAGCTGTTCGCTCCTTGCTGCTCCGTTCGGGTGTCGCTGCTCCAAACGTGACGTCCGCCTGTCGCGTCAGTCGTGTTGTCTCGTCCTGTGACAACCAACTGGCTTGGTATCGGTCGCGGCACCCAAATGACGTTCTAACCTTTTGGTGATTCGGGTGGGAATCTGGTTAGATTTGATATCAGCCTCGTCGTTCCCAACTCGCTTCCAACGCCTGGTTACCAAGGTAACTGCATTGATCCCCAGTCTGCCTACCCACGTTGTGAATTGATCTTAGGCAGACGAGATCAAACAGTGGTTGGGGCCGTAATGCAAACCGAGTTCAACGGGGGTGATACCACACAAATATGCATAAAAGAAAATAAAATGAAAACTCAAAAAGTTCAAAGTATCAAAGAAAAAGGTAACAAACTTTATGTCTAATTGTTCGATACATAGGACTGCATCTATCTCCCGACCCGTTCTATGGATTGTGACACGTTGTTTTCCGTTAGGCAAGTTTTAACGCTTCAAGTTGTTTGCTCTCTAAGAAATTTGTGTTTCGGTGTGTCTTTGGACGAAAGTCGAAAAAAAACTTATTGTGGTGGTCTGGATCTAAGTCGCTCTTCAAAATAATTGTTCTTGGGTTGAAGAGGAGTCCGGAATTTGCGTGAATCTTGGTCAGCTATCTCGAGCCGGCATCAACTGGAGACTGACTCTTCGCTGCAACTCCAACTCAAACTGAAATTGGAACTGGAACTGATTTCTGCTCGTTGTGGCTTCGCTTATATGGACGCCGACCAAAACCGGGGTGGGTCTGTCGGCGTCGGGGTTTCCTCGATAATTCTAAATACATATCCACCTCTCTGGTTAGGAATTTCCACTTTTTTCCATTTTTGGGAACCTTTCCTCACTTCCACCTTCTCACCATACTTCAGAGGGCGTGAACTGCCCTCCCCACTTCTTCGTAGCGGCTTCTCATACCTACACTCTAGATGGGCGGCGACAGCCTCCTTCGTGCGTCACGTGATCACCACTTGACCAATGATGTCTTAGTCGGGCGTGGACGAATCCGCGGCTTTGTTTCAGGAAAAAAAAAATCTTGCTTAACTAAAAAAAATTATCCCTTCTTTTCCTTTTCTTCCTCTTAATCACCGTTATCATTTCTCTAACCGCAAACGGGACAATATGAACAATAGCGGTCATAACTCTTGTTCTACACGTGGTTTTCGTCAGGTATTTTATCGCTAATTATCCGAATGGGAGGTTTTCTTAACACGGCCAATGTCGTCCCGAAAAGACATTTCTAAATTCCCATTCATTTCCCTTCGGTACATATTTCTGATAACATAATTTTATTATCGCAGGCTAAGGATGTTCCGTCGAAGGAAATCGGTCAGCGGACACACGTGGGTGGCTTTTAATTTTTTCATATCTGTCCAAAGTCCTTTTAGTTGCCTGTTTTTCGTCACTTATCGAAATAACATTTTCATTTGAATTTTTCTTTGGCCAGTCGGTCTGTAGTTGATAATAAGATGCCTTCCCGTACCAATAGTTTGTTTTCATATCCTTAGATAACACAGCCGTCGACAAAACATATCTGATTCTTTCTTTCTTTCCCTTTCTTTTTACTCAGAATTTCCCTGTCATTGTAATGACACCCTTTCGCCATTTGTTACTTATCAAAATATCCCTTATCCATTGTCTCTTAGCCGTGTGTGTGTTCTGCTTATCATCCACGATTCGGTCCTTAGCCTCTCCTTTTCTTTCTTTTCTTTTTCTGCCTCGTTAAATGGTGCCACACTTGTGTCACTCTATATGAACCGGTTCTCTGTATGTGGTTCGTCACTATAATCAAATCATATGTGCAGGTAGTATCAATATTTTCGGTTATGGTTGAAACGATGAGAAAATCTACTATAGGATAAAACCAACATAGCAAAAAAAAAAAAAAAAAATTATGAGAGTCAAATATATTGTAAATTTTATTTAAATACTTGCAGCCATGCCCAGCGTTCAATTAGAATGGGGCAAGGACAGCATAATGTTTAGCTGTAACAGAGTCTATCTTCTTCAATTACTTTAAAGTACTTTCATTAAAAAACATTTTGAATTAATGCAGTTGCTAAGATAAGAGAAGCAGGCTGTATTTATTCAATCGGAGTTAGCTGACGACATGAAGGAGTAAAAGAGGCAACATGAAGACCCATTTCAAACCACAATTATTTTGGAGTTTTTGAAATTCTGTTTGTCAATGTGCTACCAGAGATGTAAAAGAGGATACATTTATAAAGCATTTGCTAAGTTTGATGAAAATTAGTTGAAAGATCAACGAAAAATAAGAAAGAAACCAGTAAAAATCGCCATTTTTCGCTATTTACGCGGGTTTCATTATCTGGGTGGACTCAATTATCACTTTAAATGACTGTTGAACAATCAATTTATTGTTAGTTACAATTGAGTGAAGTTTGTATCAGATTGCTTGAAAATTGAGTTTTTAGTTTAAAATTTTTCTTTAAATCCATTTCGTTTTTTGCGGTTTTTTGCTAAACGCAGTGGCGTAGAAATACAAATGAGATATCGTTGCGTTGAGCTCGTCATGTTGTAAGAAATCCGAGGAAAAATGTTGTATTTATCGATTTTTGATTTTTAAAAAAAAAATATCGATTTTTTACGTAAAAAAAAACTATCTCTTACATAGTACAATGTATGTGCCAAGTTTGGTCATAATCGGTTGGATGGATCTCAAATGAAAAGGTATTACATAGACAGACAGACACATAGACATCCTCTGTTTTATATATATATATATATATATATATATATATATATATATATATATATATATATATGATAAAAAATATAAATATATGGTAAAAATAATAAAAATACTTAAATAAAGTTTCATTGGTATATAACCGAACTTCTCTTTTAACTATTTCTCTTTCTCTCCTCTCCGTTTTCATCTTTCTCTCGTCTCTCTCTCTCTCTCTCTCTCTCTCTCTATATATATATATATATATATATATATATATATATATATATATATATATATATATATATATATATATATATATATATATATATATATAATGGCTGGCCACTTGTATTTGAGGATACCTGTCTACAAGGATCGGCTAGTCAATCCTTATTGCAGACGCTCGTTCAGGCATATTTTGTATTTGTTCAACACCCACAGAGTCCACCTCTGGTTTATAATGCAACTATGCTGAGCAGACCTTATTTACAGTTTCAGGTCGAGAGCCTAATATATAGTATGTTCAACAGTCTAAACAAAGCCATCACGCTCAAACCTCGGTTAGGATGATTTGTGACTTCGTGCTAGCACACTCATAGATGGATCCCAAGGGTTCCGTCTACCCAGTTTAACACACAAGGATTGGATCAACCCGTGGTGTGGTTTTCAGGCACTTGCTATACACATTTCAAAATGAAGAATTATTAATATTATTATTGTTATTGTTATTAATCTGTTGCACAGGTCCTTGCGTAAATCATAAGTGTCAGGTCTCGTCGCAACATTGTGTGACAGTCGACGGAAGAGCCGAGTGCGAATGTCCCAATTGTTTCGGTGAAGGGAAGGATCCTGCCTGTGTGCGCATCTACGTTGGGATGTACGCCTACACGGAGCAGACCTTCAACAACCCGTGTGAAGGGAGACGAACAGCATGCTTCAAGGGACTGGACATGAAACCTGTTGATGATGTTGCGTGCGGATGTAAGTATTGATTCGTCGTTATATATATATATATTATTATTATTATTATTACAGAATATCAAATATCATGAGAGCTCTAAAAATATTAGCTCTCAAACTTCAAGACCTACCAGAAAAACATAAATGAAATGGAAAAAAAATATAATACTCAGTATCAAGAGATACTGCTATCTTATTTAGATAGTAGGAAAATTAATAGAGTATTGACCTGTTTTGATATACTGACTTCAGTATGTCATTTGTGGATGGTGAAAAGGCTTAAAGTGTAATTAGTTCAGTGTGAATTGGAAACAGTTCCGTCTGGTTCCGTCAACACCCAAATGTCAATATATATATATATATATATATATATATATATATATATATACATTACATGAATCATTCATACAAAAAACAGATATTGAAGTTAATGATATAAATGGCGAGAATCCATCTTCGCAAACAAATTTAATAAATTACATTAACCTCGAATCTGTAGATGAATGTTATGATCCCTGTTTATAAATTCCAGTTGCATAAGGTCTTTTTTTTATTTTTATTTTTTTCATCTACAGGTTCGGGGTTAATATTGCATATTTTTAGAGGACTCATGGAATAAAACTTATTACTTATGGGATTATAAGTGTTTGATATTATTTACTTACTAATAATTTTGGTCTATCTTTCTTTTTACATAGAGCTGATACATTGTAGAGCTGATACACTGTATCATTACTATATGTATATATATATATATATATATATATATATATATATATATATATTTATGTGTGTGCGTGTGTATCTGTGTGCGTGTATATATATATATATATATATATATATATAAAACAAATGCGTTGTTAAAGAAAAGTATTTGTTTTGTCTTTATTCTCTCTCTCTCTCTCTCTCTCTATATATATATATATATATGAAACAGTACAAAAACGTATTATGGCATAAAAAGCAAGAATTTTTTTTATTATATATATAATAAACACAAAACAAATACTTTTCTTTAACAACGGATTTCCACTTCTTATGGACCAGGTAAACTGGTCGTTAAGGAAATGTTTTCCCTTTGTCTTCATGCATATTGTATTTTTAACAGATATATTGATATTTTTTTTATTTTCGTTTGAATTTTTACGCACACACACATACACATACACAGAAACACACACACACACACACACATATATATATATTTGTATTTGTAGACGACTATTACTGTTTTTGTTTACTTTATAGTATTACCAGTGAACTGTTCTTATGTGGCAAATTTTGTGAACGTGACTGATGGAGAGTGTCATCACGATGGAGAAGTCAATATGGGCAAATGCGTGGGTGGATGTGGCACAGACGCTGGCCACTGCTGCGACGTAGTTGCCTTTGAGAACGTTAGTGTGAATCTGAACTGTCCAAATGGGACGAAGAGGAAAAAACAGGTAAGAAAATATTTATCAAACTCTCGACACCTATGCGGTAGCGCGCTTCTCTCCCCATATATATTTAGAGAGTGATACATAGATAATATGCAGATAATAGAGGCAACTCATCGTTATATTTGCTCTTAATGTGGTAGACAAGATTTTTTTATATTTCATTTGTATATATATATATATATATATATATATATATATATATATATATATATATATATATATATAAAATACTCATGATTTATGTGTAGAAAAAACAAAGTGAATAAAATAGACAATCGGAATATACTAATTAGTCTTTGTCGACGCGTTTGTCATTTGACTTTATCAAGGCAAGTGATGGCAAACAAAAAGCGAAAAAGTTGCATAATTACAAAGCATTCAAAATTCTTTTAAGACGCTCCTGCAGGAAGCCTCTTTTTGGATATTAGTATCTTTTACATTTTTCATATATATATATATATATATATATATATATATATATGGAAATTTAAAAAACAATTAAAATTTTATAAGTTTAATTTTAATTCTGAGTTATATTGCCCCCCTTTAACTTCCAGAAAAAAGGTAACAATTCGTTTTTAAATTTCCTTAAAAATCATTTAATAACCAGTTACTTATCATCGCCTGAAGAAGTACAATCAAAGTATTGAAACATGAAAGCTTTTGTGTAGCGATTTCAATATGGTTTTATTATAATTTTTTATAATAATAATATGTATATATATATATATATATATATATAAAAGACATTTTTATGTTATACATTCTTTTTATAGATAAAAATATTTAAGTAAATGCTATGTTTATAATAAACAGTATTAAACAACATTTACCGGCCTGAATGTCCGAGAAATTTTCACAGAAAAGTATTCGTCCTCCGACAGGAGTCGAACCTGTATCCTATACGGAACTGTCATTTAGCTTGACGTGCCCTTACGGAGGACGAATATTTTCTGTGAAAATTTCTCGGACATTCAGGCCGGTAAATGTTGTTTAATACTGTTTATTATAAACAGAGCATTTACTTAAATATTTGTATCTATAAAAAGAGTGTATGACATAAAATGTCTTTATATATATATATATATATATATATATATATATATATATATATATATAGAGAGAGAGAGAGAGAGAGAGCTCACTTTAACTCAATTTAATTCAAATAATTATATTGAAGTTTTCGGCGCTTGTTTTGAAACATGAGACCTCCTATGTCGCGAGTTGGAATCATATTTTAAATAAATAATCACATTTATGCTCTACTTTTGTATCGAGCACTATTTTTAAAAAATAATAACTAAAATACTAAGGAACTTTGGATTATTTACCTAACCAGTTCTTTTCCTATTTTCTATATTTTTCACACACACACACACACACACACACACACACACACACACACACACACACATATATATATATATATATATATATATATATATATAAGTTTTATATCTATATATATCACACACGGGTAAAATATATAGGAAAAAGAAATTAGGCATCTACTTTGCGCATGCTCGGAGGAATGTAATTCATGATTAAATCTGCCTGGTGTAAATTGGAAAATATTAAAGTTTTTAAATCCGGTATTTCCTTTCTCATTATAACTGTCAAAACGAAATTTAATGAAAATCTCAATTCTCGTCTGTGTTTCTTTCTGACATTTTTTCTTTTTTTTTTTTACTTCATTCTACTTTTTGGTTACAGGTGATGAAAATAAACAAGTGTCAGTGTATAGAACAGACACAGATATCCTCACAACGTACTGCGCCATAAACTGATGCCGTTTCCCCTTCTGGGACCTGAAATGAAAAGCCCAGCTGGAAAAGCGCGCATATAGACGTCAGCATGCAGTAAAACAGCCGGAAGTGACACTAAAAAAACAACAACAGTGAAAAATTATTAAAATGGTTTTGGAAACTCTTTCTTCTTTTCTTCTTTCGTAACGTTTTATAAAAAAAAACAATCATTGTTCTTTTCTCATGGCAATTTAAACATCTTTTTTCTGGTCTCTTTTTCCTGTTCCTCTTTCTATTTTAATTCTTATTAATTTTTGTCTCTTTTAAAATGCATTTTTGAAATAAAATAATATCAAATCTGCAAACAATTTTTTTTATTTATTTATCAACGACTTAATTTGTGTTATAAGTTTATTCTAACTTTCATTACTTCTCAGATGTCCAGTTAACGATTTTTGTTTATCCTCGGCAGACATATTGTTAAGAGTTTTGTTTTTACAGTGTTTGCTTATGAATTAAAATTTATCATAAAGTTTGACTTCGACTTTATTATTATTTTTATTTTTATTATCATCATATTTTTCTGGTTTCTTTTTTTTCCTGTTCCTCTTTTAATTTTAATTTTAATTCTTATTAATTTTTGTTTCTTTTAAAAGGCATTTTTGAAATAAAATAATATTATCAAATCAGCAAACAGTTTTATTTAATTTATTTATCAACGACTTAATTTGCGATATAAGTTTATTTTAATTTTCATTACTTCTCATATGTCTAGTTAACGATATTTGTTTTTCCATGGCAACCATATTGTTAAGAGCTTTGTTTTCACAGTGTTTGTTTATGAATTAAAAATTATCATAAAGGTTGATTTCGACTTTATAATTATTATTATTATTATTATTATTATTATTATTATTATTTTTATTTTCTTTGATTTCTGGCGTTTACACATTTCTTTCCGGGTCCCTTGGGACCTAAGGTTAGAAATGGCGTCATGACACTTTCCACTGACAAAAAAAAAAAAAAAAAAAGATTACATAGATAAAGCCCTTCGTAAGGTGTGGGCTGTACTTGTCAGAACATTTTTCTGTATCTCCTTGAGGCATGGACTTCCAGGAATCCCTTCAATTAGTCTACTGGAATCTTTTCCAACCAGTCCTAGGGTTCCAACTACAACAGGGATTGTTGATGTTCTCATATGCCACATTTTCGCGATTTCTATTTCAAGGTCCTTGTACTTTGACAACTTTTTGAATATCTTCAAAGATACATTGCAGTCGGCAGGTACTGCCATATCAATAAGGAGGCACCGTTTTTGTTTGTGGTCTTTAATAACAATATCTGGGCGGTTGGCCTTGATTGTTCTGTCAGTGTGTATTGTGTAGTCCCATAGAATTGTAACAGGTCCTATCTCCGTAACCGGGTCTGGGTGGTGTTCATACCAGTTTCTTTCAGTTTCCTTCCCGTAGAAGTTGCAGATTTTCCAGTGCAGATATTGGCCCATTCTGTCATGTCGGGTTTTATATTCAGTGGGTGCCAACACCGTACTACTCCTTTGATTTCTGTTGTATACTCATTTTCTTCAGGATCCTAAAAGGAACCTAAGCTCAGAAATGGCTTCATGACATTTTCCACTAAACAGTTTTGTAAAAAAATATAGATAAAACAATTAAGACCACACACATTTTACATAGATAAAACCATTCGTAAAATGTGAGATATACTTTTGAGAAGAAGTTTTTGCTTTTCTTTGGGGCGTTGGCTACCAAGGATCTCTCATTGCGTCTATCAGAAGCTTTTCTCATCGAACAGAGTAATCCAACTTCAACTGAAATTACTAGTGTCTTAGTATTTCAAATTCTGCTTCGATTTCCACTTCAAGTTCGTTGTATTTTGATAGTTTTTTTTTAATCTTCAAAGATACATTGCCAACTACAGGGACTGCTATGTCAATAAGAAAGTACATTCAGTTTCTGTGATTTTTGATCATTATGTATGCGCCATTAACTTTGATTTTTTTGTATATGTCTATTATAAAGTTCCATGAAATTGTTATATGTCCTGTATCAGTTACCGGGCCTGGCTGAGGTTCATACCAATTTCTTTCAGTTACCTTACCGTCAAATGTTTTCAGTACAGATATTGGTCCATCCTGCTATTCCGAGTTTTATATTCAGTGGATGCTAACACCGTGAAACCTGATACAAGATGGTCAATTATTTCTAGTTATTCATCACAGAATCTGCATTTGGGTTTAATACAGTTTTTCAGTATTTTTGTTTAATAATTTCTAGTTAGAAATAATTGCGCTTGTTCAGCAAAAATAAAATTATTATTATTATTATTATAATTATTATTATTAAGATATCTGACACAGTGTAAGTCTTTGAATACATCGGGTGCAATAATTTATCTAAAAATAAACAAGAAGCTACTCAGACAGATTATATGCGCAATGCCCCCCCCCCAAAAAAATGCCCCAAACAACCAATGTTTGGATGAATCCATCTTAGTATGGTATCCCAAGTTGGTCAAGGAAGTCGTACAGTTTTAATGAGATTGATCCCAATGCACTAATCACCACTGGAATCGTATTGATATTCCCTTGCAGCATTCCAAACAATCTTGCCATCTCAACTTTCAAATCCAAGTAGTTTACCATTTCCTCAGTCACCTTGTTGGGTAAGTTTATGTCATTTAATATGGCGACATCAATAATATGACAGTTCTTGAGGCCTTCATTATGTTTGAATGATCATAGTAACAGAATATTATGGGGTTTATAAATCCTTCGATTATTCCACAGGTTACTTATTCATACCAATATGACAGTTTTTGGTGCCTTTATCTATAATAACACAATAATATATTGAACGTGATTGTGTATCACTTTGTCTGAATGATCATAGTACCAGAATATTATGAGGTTTATAAATCCTTCGATTATTACTCAAGGTACTTACATATACCAATATGACATTTACTGAGGGGCCTTTATCTAACAATAATATACGCACGGTGATGCTGTATGTTGGAAAATCATAGTCTCACAATATTTTGGGCTTTCCATTTTCTTCAGCTGTTCTGCAAAACACATTTTATGGTACTTGGTATCCATACTTTCGACCCAATAACTAATGTTCATAAAAACATACTATATCTTAGCGCCTTGGTACTTCGAGTCGGTGTAATGGTTAGCAAACATCTTGCCAGAAAAATTACGACTGAGTAGTGAGTTCGATCCTCATTGGGTGCCCCCTATTTTCGGCCTTGTGTCACATCTAAGCTACTCTTGGAAAGTCAATACCTTTATCATGACGCCTCATATAGTCATTTTGAGATAGCATTATTATTATTAACCACACTTCCGCTGCTGTTAATATATTTCAAAATCATTCCGAAATTTACAATGACAGTATTTGACGTATATATAAATTTTCAAGACATCGTGTACAGACATGTCATAGCGTAAAATACGACCTACTTTATGACATATTTTGATTATATTATGTGTTTGTGATGTGTTTCTGCTTTGGATATTCTACAGAGTATCCGTTGTCTGTGGCAACAGTGCCAATATTTAAACATTTATAGTTAGTTGAAGTTTGCATTGAAGAAACAGGAGGAACTGCCTTAGCAACACTTTGAATACTCAGCTTCTATTAGCCAATTTTAAGTGAATCTATGATTCTTCAATAATTATTCTTAGAACATTCTATGCTTTGATATCACGACTTCGCAACTTGTTTGTTTGAAGAACCCTGGGATTCATTACAGAAAGAATTCGGTATTTTAAGTGAGATATTTACGAAGAAAAAGAACTTGATATGATCAAGTTACTTTGTAGCTTTTTATCATAATTTCTTATTCATATCCATCATTATTAATCGTAACAGGTGTCTGAGTATATATATATATATATATATATATATATATATATATATATATATATATATATATATATATATATATATTTGTGGTAAACCCTCCTACAGTAGAATGAACTCTTCCTCCTATCATAAATACTAATTGCAAGACTTCCTTGCAAGAATGGTATAATGAGTCGGTTGGGAAGCGGAGACGCAGAGTTAACCACCGTTCATTGTGTACCTCTATCTTCTTATTACTAACACTCTTGGTTTGTATATATCTATTATTTCAATACACTTGTTCAACCTACCTTTGTCTTCCGTGCCTTTCTTTTTGGCCCCTAAACAGCAAATATATATATATATATATATATATATATATATAAAGAAATAAGGTCTTAAGGTGTGCTATATTTATGGGATAAAATGCTCAATATCAGAGATAGAGCGTGTGTAAATATAAAAGTGAACATAGAAGTCCGAAAACCGAAAACCGAAAAGAAAAAATATACAAATAAATTGACCTAAATTCAAACCAATCCCAAATTAAAAACTGTTCCCGCCAAAAAAATAATAGTTAGAATGAACTACAACAACCAACCCCAAAATTGAACAAATAGCTTTAATCAAATTCTCAAACCAAAACAAAACTGTTAAATACGTGATATAAACAAATTTTTACTACGTTAATAAATAAATAAATAAAATAAGAAACAAAAAAATAAAAACGAGCAATATAATTTGACCCAAATAAATAAACAAAGCGACTTCCGGTAAAAAATAACCGCCATAATAGAATACCCACAATGCACCACTAACCCGTATATATATAAATATCCGAGAAAAAATAACATATATGTGGCCTGACGATTGCATATAGCATGAAACAGACTGTCGCCTCTAAGTGTTGACTTCTATGTTCACTTTTATATTTATATATATATATATATATATATATATATATATATATATAGTCGACTCTCCCGTCGAATTCGACGTATGAGGGTCAAGGAGATCAGTTCCGACAGCCCGAAAACAGCACATGAGATTTGATTATAGTGGTGAAGGTTTCGTGCAGGACCATCCACACTTTTTGAAGGGCCGAATTCAGAGACCTGCTGCACTAAGTGCCACAAGGTCCCAAAACGACCCTCCGCAGGATTTGAAT